AGAGCAACCAGGTGTAAATGAGTGCATCTTGTTGCTCCCAGTCAAAAAACGCTGGATTTGCACCGCCAGTAACAGGATCGACGTCGGGAAGAAATCGCAGAGGAACAAGCGGCGACGTCACAAACCGTTGAAGTTTGTGGTCGCGAATCACACCATCTATTTATTGTTTCCACTGTTTGAAGTTCTTATCATCCAATTTGACTGAGATAAGATATGAGAGTTTGATGTGAGACGAGGGAAAAATACCCTCAGAACTGAGCGAAGATGCCATGGAACCCTATATCGAGAGAGAAGCTCTGATACCATGTTATAATAATAGAAAGAGAGAAGAGTGAAATAATTTTGTTATAGATTCATTTCAATTAACATAATACAGTAGATCTCTATATATAAGTAAGCATAGCTAACCATTTGACAACTAATACAATGGATGACTTTCTAACTATATTATTATCTATTTATCTCTAATAATAATAATAATAATAATAATAATAATAATAATAATAATAATAATAATATTGGTCTATTTTTTAAAGTCTATGTCACATGTACTGTTCATTTAAATGGTTTTTCTTAAATCAACAATTTTTTTAAATAGACAATTTTTTGGCATAAGGTATTATATCGAATGTAAAATATAATTAAATTATTTGTAAAATAAAATTAAAATGAAAGACTCACTTAGTGAAACATTTTTTTTTCTTTTTGAATTTGAAATGTCATTTGTATAACATTGAATTTAATACATTTTATTATATATCAAAGATAAACAAATGAGCTTGACAAAAAATAGATAAATAATAATTGATATTAAATTTTAAACTTATGCTATAATGTTAGTATTATTGGTTGTGTCTGATGTTGTTGTTTCTGATGTTAGATCAGATGTCATGACTTCATGTCATGAGTTATGTTTTACTACTGCTTAGAAAGAGTAGTTTTTGTTGCTTGATGTGCTGCAACTATTCAGGGGGAGTTGAGTTACTCATACTACTGCTCATGCTACTGTCACTGACGGGCTGTATATGGGCAATGTTGTGCAAAATATTCTGACATGTTGTGGTTATGGAGAACCTTTGATGCTTTATGATAATTTATTACTCTGATACTCTGAGTAATATGTGTGGCTTCTGTTGTATGTGTTTCTAATATGTATTGCCTTTGCTATATGCGTTTATAATGCATGAACTTGGATAGTTCATGTTTATCTGTCTTGTGCTTTGGGTTTTCCTCTTGAGAAGGATGTGTAAACCGAGGTAATTGAGGTTTGGATGTCAGGTGATTTGAGTTTTCCCCTTCAAGAAGAGTATTGAGTATTTGTGATATGGGGAAAAATTGACCTGTCTGAGGTTGCTGTGTTGATGTGATGTCAGACCGCATGTCTTGACATCTGATCACTAGAGATTTTTGGAGTTTGAAGGAACTGTAACGTCTAATGGCCTATAACTGCACTTTATCTCTGATATCTTTTTGTTTGTAGGTTTTGTGGTATTATTTCTCTTCTTCAGAATTGTTGTGCAAACAGTGTTTTAGACAAAATTTGCCAAAGGGAAAGGTTGTAAGTTTTGTGACTTTTGGATTGACTACATTTCGATAAAACAACATACTGTTAGCAAGATGTTAAACCATATGTTCTGCCATGACTTACAAACATCATGTTCTGCATAATGCTGTGAAATGTTCTAAAACATGTTATACCATAAAGTTAGGGCACACCTATTTTTGTATTTTTAGTGGGATTTTTGAGTGTGTCTTAATTCACACATATGCGCTATCCAAGGAGTAATATTGTGGGAACTTCTGTTTTTGACAGATTGTGATGGTTTTCTGAAAAAGGATCTTTGAGCCTTTTTTTTAGGAAACTTTGTATTTTATTCATATTTTTGCGCAGGAGATTATGCTTATGATTCCAAGTTGATTCCTGATGAATTGCGCCTCAAGAGCCCAAGCCCACAAGGTTCGAAGGCTATTTAAATGAGACCTAAACCTAATGAAGATACGACTTTCACTTTTTCAAAATAAGGGGAGGTTTTTAGAATCTTAGATTTTGAGAGTTTTGTTCTTGTTAATTGTATGTCAACCTTTGTATCTTTTGATACATTGAGGCAGGCTAATTGTGTATTGTTAATTATCCACTCTAAAGTTTTTAAGCAAGAGTGTATTGTTCTTGGTTGAAGCTTTTAAGCAAAACCGAGTATTGTCTTGGAAGTGTGCTACTTCTATTGTTTGTTGTTGTTGAATTGTCACTGGGATTGTGGCTGATTAGGAAGTGAGAGGGGATGAGGGTCTCATATCTTAGGGTTTCTAGGTAGAAGTTGCACAAGATAGTGATTAGGCGAGAAGTTGTAAACGGGAAAGTTTAGTTTTGAACTAATGCTATCATAATGAATTTTCTTTCTGGCTTTGATGCCTCTAGATGTAGGTGATGTTGCACTGAACTGGGTTACCAATTGACTGTGTTATTTTTATTTCTGCAATTTAATTTTCAGTCTGGTTTATTTGTTATGTTAAACAAATAGATGTTGTAACATCAGTTTTGACATTATGTTCTGATGTGAGGACATCAGTATTAACGTGTGTTAGAGTGCTAGAATTCCAACTAGAATTTTGACCTCATGAATCCTTGAAGTAAACTGGCGGAGCTTAAAGAGATATTCTAGAAAAGAATATATTGAGTTCAACTAAAGGCTAGTAGGGACATAGTCGAATAAGACCTTTGCATAAAGGGAGATTTTGGTTTGGTACTTAGAAATATTTTTGAGTTCAGACTTAAGTTCAACGAAGCTTACTTGGAGTTGCGTTCAATAAACATAATTCAAAACGAGGCTAGTAAGTAACTATTTTGTGACCTTATCCATTTTTGGAAGACACATGGAAAGTTGTAGATAGCGAAGTGTAAACAATCGAAAACGTGTCATCTTCTGGAGAAGAGACCGTTTGATTACCGTTATTTTTGACTTAGTATAAATAGAAGTCTTAGTAATTAGGATTCATGTGTTTAGTCTTGTACAAAAACTGAAATATTACTTAAAGGATACGTGTTTGTTGAGAAAATAGTTTTCTGAGTGCAATGTACGTGTGATCACCCTATTTTTACACTTTTTATCAAATCATTTAAGATTTTGTCATTTACATTTGCTGTAAGTTTACTTTGAAGTCATTTACATTGCAATTTACATTTATGCATTTCTTTACGAATTGTAACATTACCTTTAACAAATTGAAATAACCTTGTCGAAATATTCATAAGTAACAAAACTTAAAGAAAAGTAAAAGTACATGTCCTAGGATCAATATAGTCGATACTGTGAGTAACTAAAATTATATAATTTGGAAGACCAACAATTGTTTACCAATTTCGACGGTAAACACTTACTCAAGTGGATGAGATAAAAAATATATATAAAAATAAAAGTTAAAATAAATTTGTGCAAGACAATCCATTTTTGTGTTCATAGTCATTGACCACTTCTAATTACATACTCCATCCCATATACGAATGCCAAAAAGTAGTATTAGCATAAGACAAACAAAAATTTATTTATATATATTTTTACAATTACTGAATGGATTATGGATGGCAAAACGGGTCGTGGCCTGCTGGGACGGTCTGCACACCCGCCAAAAAATGGCAGGTTGTGTTGAAATTTTGGGCGCGCCGCCCACTAAAGCCCGACCCACTAAAGACCGCCACCCACCAAAATCCGCCGCCCGCGAAAGCCAGCCGCACCTATTCATTCAACTTGTCTCACCTTCAACCCCACCATTTTTTTAGTTAATTCTAGTAATTCTAATTCTTGAAGGTTGTGTTTTATACATTTATTTAAGAATATATGCAATATTTTTTGAAGTAAAATTTGTTAAAAAAATGTTTTATAAGAATTGTTATAAAAATAAGTGAAAAATCTAATTAAAAAGTAAAAACAAGTCTATTAATCTATTAAAAGAAATAAAAATAAATAAATAAAAAAGTAGGTGGACAAGCCCGCCGTCCGCCAACGCGCCACCTTAGCGGGACGAGATAGCTTTTTATGCTCATTTCCACTTGACAGACTTGCCCGCCCCGCCTTTTTTTGGTAGACTCAATACATGGCGGGACGAGGTGGAACAGACGACCCGTTTTACGACTCCTAAAATGGATTACAGAGAGAGAAGAGATTAGTATTTCAATATTATTTCATATTACAAAATCTACAATTCAACCTCATTTAAGAATGGTAAACAAAGTATCAGATATACAATCTTATTTTAAAATAAAAAAATGTATTTATAAATTTTGTTGTTGTTTTTATTTATGTTGTGTCATTGATATACTTGCTTACCTATAAATATATATATTGAGAGAGGATATAAGAATATGGTATGTTCTATTTTCTTTTTTATTTTATCTTTCACATTCTACAATTATTTCAAAAATAACTAATAAACTTAATAATTATTTTTCTCATTTTGTCGATTTTTATTAACAAAAACTACTACATAACTATGCCATTTTCTCAACATTATAACCATTACACAATTATTAATATTATAATATGACTAACGTCCAGACGAGCATTCGCGTGTTTGTCTGCGTTTTTATTGCACACACATATAAATATAAATGATATTTTTTTATTTAATGTTAATTTTAAATAAAAATTATGTAAAAAGTTATTAATAAAAAAATATAAAAGATGATAATAGTAATTTAATAGAAGTGATTGTATAAGTTACATATTTTAAAATAAAGATAAAATTAATAAAAAATTAAGCTAAATCAAAAATCAAATTTTACCTTTTATATGTAATAAATTATAAATTATAAATTATAAATTATAGATAGTAACATACATTTTAAATTGTGATTTCCATTCAAAAGTTAACCGAACCAATGATCATCAAAGTAAATAAAATAAAATTATACCAATTCCGTAAAATATACGATCCCTTCGGTATTATATATCACAATCTAATTATAATCCCACTTTTCCACCTTTTCTCTCATTCACGTTTACCCGATGGGAAGGCTATCCTCCACCATCGAAATTGCTCACCATCGCCGCAGACACGAAGATCGCCGCACTCCTGACTCCGATGTCTCTGAAGATCGCCGTCGATACCGCCGTAGCCCTAGCTATGATTCATACGATCGTCACAGAGACCGCCGCCGTAGCATATCACCCGAAAACAGAAACCCTAGATACGATAACATCAATCCAAACGGCAACGCTCTTCCAAAGAAATTCGGCCACCGCAACGGCTCCTATCTGGACCGTGACCGCAGCGATTTCAAGCGCTCCGAGTCTGAATCTGACGAAGAATTGAAGGGATTGAGTTTCGAGGAATACAGAAGGTTGAAGCGGCAAAAGATGAGGAAGTCGATGAAGTACTGTATCTGGAACGTTACGCCGAGTCCTCCGAGACGGGAGAACGAAGATCTTGAGCATGTTTACAAAGCTGAAGAGTTTTCTGAGAAATATGATGAGAAGGATGATAAGGAGCTTAAACCGAAAGCAAAATCTGAATCCGTGTCCGATGAGTCTGATGGTAGTGAATCTGATAATCCACGTTTGAGGAAGAAGAGAAGTAAAAGTTCTTCTAAAAAATCGCGAAGCCTAAGTGAATCAGAATCAGAATCAGAAGAAGAGGAAGATCGGAAGCGGGGAAGGAATCGGAATTATAGTGATAGTGATAGTGAATCAGAAGAGGAAGAACGTAAGAGGAGAAGGAGAAGTAAGAGGAAGATAAGTAGAAGGAAAAGGAACAGTAGTAGGAAGATGAGAAGGCATAGTGATTCAGAAGAGAGTGAAAGTGATGAATCTGACTCTGATGGTAGTGAAAGAAAGAGGAAGCATTCTTCATCTAGATCTCGATCTCGATCAAAACGAAGCAGGAAAGGAACTAAGAAAAGTGCCGAACCGATAAGCGAGAGTTCGGAAGATAATGAGATGGTTTCTGATTCAGCTGCTGTGAAGATTAAGGAAGCAATTGTTGTTGATGAGGTGGATGTGCCTGAGATTAATGCTGAGGCTTTACAATTAAAGGAATTGTTAGAGTTACAGAAGAAACCGGCTTTGGATAACGAGCCAACAGTTGGGCCCATGCCTCTGCCAAGAGCAGAGGGGCATATAAGCTATGGTGGTGCACTGAGGCCTGGTGAAGGTGATGCTATTGCACAATATGTTCAACAAGGGAAACGTATTCCTCGTAGAGGAGAAGTGGGTCTTTCTGCAGAAGAGATTTCAAAGTTTGAGGAACTTGGTTATGTGATGAGTGGCAGTAGGCATCAGAGGATGAATGCAATTCGTATCAGGAAAGAAAATCAAGTTTATAGTGCTGAAGATAAGCGTGCTTTGGCTATGTTTAACTATGAAGAAAAGGCTAAAAGAGAACATAAGGTTATGGCTGATTTGCAAAGGCTAGTGCAGCGTCACATTGGTCAGGATGTTGGTCCAACTCATGATCCTTTTGGTGCAAAAGACGGTGCTGATGCCTGATATTATTATTCATGTATGTCAGCTTGTTTTCTTTTGCTTTGTTTGTAGTTGTTTTTGTTCGGCTGGCTATGTTATTTAGACAACCTGTTTAGACCATGAAAATGGAGACGAGAACTTATTGCCTTGGTTAACATAGCTTATGGATATTCAGAAAGTGGTGTATGTTTTTCAATTAGTGACTAACTAGTATATTAACAGTTTGGTTTAGTTAATACTGTGTCCATCTGTTTATGTGAAATTGCTATAGAATGGTAGATTGTCATTTATTGCAACATGCAAAGCATGTGGATTGATTTTGTAGCTTCTAGTGCAGCGCCATATTGGCCAGGTTGGTCCAACTAATGCTCCTTTTGCTGCAAATGGTGTTGATACTTTATAGTCATGTATGTTAGCTTTTGTTATTAAATTTCACTTTATTAGTAGTTTTATGTACTTGCTAAGACAGAAAAGAGAGATAAACAAACTTATTGTCTTAATTAACTTAGCATTTGGATGTTCAGAAAATTGTTTGTGAAATTGCTATAGAGTGGTAGACTTGTACTTTATTGCAACTTGCAAAGCACGAGGATCATTAGAAATTAGTTTATCTGCTGCCGTTGTGTTTATGGATGAGAAGTGACATTACACAATTCCAAGTTTCCCTTCTTACTTTTAGGCCGAGGAATGCTCACGTGTTCTGATGGTATGGTGTGATAATGATAAGTTTATCGGGGCCTCACTTTGAAACTCTTCATCATCGATCTTGTTAAATTCGCCAAAACACTATTCTTTTGATTTCTGTTGTTGATGTTATTGATAGAAACTGGTATTGTGGTTGTTTATTTAGGGCAATATATTAGAGAACCGGTTTTGCACCTGTCATAGATATTAGGGATATGATGAACATGTGAATAGAGGATAGGAATAGAAACTGCCGAACAAAGGAACTAAGCCTGCGGATGTAACTTTCAGCAAGGCAGTTATTGAATTGACAAATGATACAAACTGTATACAAAACCAACAATTGACAAGTAAACCAACCTCTAGGAATTAGAGCCTAGTCTCTCCCAAACCAACCAACATACAAAATAACCAATCCCCTCCCTTTTCTCTCTTGTCCTATATCTATAATTCTAACTACCTAAAGGAGTTACACAACAGTTACATAGCAGTTACTGCACACACAACATTTTTAATAATAATAAATAATAATAGAAGAAACTGCCTATTACTAACAATATATGTCCAGGATTAGAGGTGTAATATATCTGAATTCTGATACAAATTTGATTTTATTCACATTTCCTTCATCCTACAGTCATTCTTGCATCTCTTTCTTATTCATCATATCATTCATCTCTCCCTTCTCTTTCATATTCCATTTCTCTGTTCCCTCAAAGAAGTATTATTCATCATATCATTCATCTCTCTCTCCCCTCTCTTTCATATTCTATTTCTCTGCCCTTAAAGAAGTATTATTCATTCTGATTTGCTTGCCGTGTCTCAAGTGATCACACTCACCATTTAACTGTTTAAAATGGTGAAAAAAAAGACTAGATATTATTTTTTCTGCAAGACATGTTTTATTTTTCATACATTAATTCTTATATTTATTTCACAGTAATCTTTGCTTGTTCGTTTTATTTCACATTTCTTATTTTCTTTCTATAATACACAAATCTATAGACTTTTTTTTGTCACCATTGTACGACACCAACAATAGTGTTTTTCCATTTTGTCAAATGATCTGTGATTCAGCTTTCGTTGTATTAGTTATAGGCTGGATTAACCAATTTAATTTGATGGTAAACAACCAAAAGGAAAGAAAGTGGTGTACTGTACCTACTAGCACTATAATCTAGATAGGAATGTAATCAGATTGTGTACCAATATTTATTGGTTTACTCTATCAGAATATAGCTCATATTTAGAGTGTATCTAGAGCTTTTGATGCATCGACCGACTATGATTGCTTCATAGAAACATAGGAATCCTTTGCACACTAGATGATACAACTATATATAAAATCTTCTATGATTATAGGTAGAAGTAGTCTCTTTCGGCAAGCCAATCATTAAGTTATATAAAAAGTCTAAATCTGTATAATTGTTCTGATATGCTTTCTGCAAACAAGAAAGCCAAAATCGGTAATGCTGTATTCAAAGTAGTCAATAGCGGTGTTATAGTGAAGCCGAGCCCGAGCGTTTTGGGAAGAGCCTTATCGCAGTACACTATAGTGGCCGTTTTAGGGTAAATAGCGGGATAGCAGGAACCCATCTGGAGTGGTTTCTGGTCCGCTATCCCTTTCCCTTATGGAAAAACCAAAATTACCTCTTAAATTTAAATGTTTTAAGAGTAATTTTGGGTTTTTCTATCAAATTTGACCTGAGCTGAGACAAAATCTTAACCTTCTTTCATCGTTGTTTTTGCATTTCATCGTCGTTTTTGCATTTCAGTTGTTCCAAAGAAAAATCATACAATCCTCCCTCATCTATCTCTGCACTTTTATTCTTCCCTCTGTGCTGTCTCCTCCCTCTGCTCCATTGTTTCATTCTTTTCATGTTGGTTATTTTCTTGTCGGTTTCTTTTTCTTCTCTGTTTTTTCTTCTGTTTCTTTCTTTTTCTGCTTTCTTCCCCTCTTATTTTGTTTCTCTGTTTTGTTGTTCTATTTATTTCTCCCTCTGTTTTAATGTCTCTTCTGTGTGTTTATTTTTTTTATCTCTGTTTTACTTTGTAGTATAAGTTTTAATTTTAATCACATTCTCTTCTCAGCTTTAGTTTTTAGTCACAATTTGTCTTCTCTATTTTAATTTTAATCACATTGAAGAAAATGAAGATTTGGAAGAAGATAATAGGGTGGAGGATGAAGAGGAATATGTTGAAGAAGAGTCTTTTTGGTAACACAAAAAAAGAGCTTGTAGTTTGTAGTTTTTAGCTTATAACTTTTTATTTTAATTATACCCTTATTTTATTTATATATATATATATATATATATATATATATATATATATATATATATATATATATATATATATATATATATATATATATATATATATATATATATATATATATATATATATATATATATATATATATATATATATATATATATATATATATATATATATATATATATATATATATATATATATATATATATATATATATATATATATATATATATATATATATATATATATATATATATATATATATATATATATATATATATATATATATATATATATATATATATATATATATATATATATATATATATATATATATATATATATATATATATATATATATATATATATATATATATATATATATATATATATATATATATATATATATATATATATATTATATATATATATATATATATATATATATATATATATATATATATATATATATATATATATATATATATATATATATATATATATATATATATATATATATATATATATATATATATATATATATATATATATATATATATATATATATATATATATATATATATATATATATATATATATATATATATATATATATATATATATATATATATATATATATATATATATATATATATATATATATATATATATATATATATATATATATATATATATATATATATATATATATATATATATATATATATATATATATATATATATATATATATATATATATATATATATATATATATATATATATATATATATATATATATATATATATATATATATATATATATATATATATATATATATATATATATATATATATATATATATATATATATATATATATATATATATATATATATATATATATATATATATATATATATATATATATATATATATAAAAAATTGATTTTAGAGAGATTTTGAAAAATGTTATAGAAGATTTTTTCTATTTTTCTCTACTTTATTAGACATTATTTTTATTTATTAAATATAAATTATATATTTAATTTAAAAATAGTGTTTATAATTCTCAAGTTAGGAGAATCAATGAAATCAATAAAGGTGAAGAAAATTTAGAACATTATTAGAGTTTTATTGGAAAATATTAGACAATAAATTTATTTTTGTTATTATTTTAGATTAATATAATTAAATTTAAAATTACAATATTATTGTTTTACGTATTTTGTTAAATTTCAATATAAAATTAAAAAAAAAACTATATTTTACGAAATAATGAGTTAACCAGATAAAAAATTGTAGTTATTAGGATTACTTTATGTTCTCATAAATGGTCTTATAAAATATTCTTACTTTATGTATAGTTTATTAGTTATTTTATTCATTGAATTTTGTTGTCAATAAATTCACGCCGAATAGCAAAACTCATAAAACTTATATACAAATTTATATATTTTGATGATATCTTTAATTTTTCATATATATTATTATTAAAATTGTTTTGCATGTTATTATTAATACATTTACTTTTATCGAATAAAATTTAATTTAATTTAATAATATAATAAGATAATGATGAAATCACAAGTTTTTTTAATTAAAAATGTCTTTTTAAGTCATTTTATAATTATCAGCTAGTGTAACAGCTAATTTACTAAACACTTAAATTAATTTATCAGCTATCCGTCATCAGCTATAAGCTAACAACTAACAACTATAAGTTAGTTTTATCAAACAAATTTTTTTGCTTTAATTATGAAATTTGAATTTAGGATAGTTTGAATTTTAATTTTTAATGCTTAGGTTTGAATTTTGGAATGTAATGTTTCGATTAAGACTTGTTGATGTTGATTAAGAGTTTCAATTAAAACTGGTTGGTTTTTGAGTGTTTTTTTTTTAAATTTTATTTAAGTTGTGTTGTTAATTATGAATATTTTATGGGTTTTGAGTTAATTGTTTAATTTAACATCATATGTTTATATCTATTACATGTATATGCTATTCTGCTACCTCTCACTTTGGGGTCGACCGCCCCACTATCGGGAAATGACTATTCTGCTTTCATT